TCGCGTGTGCAGTGATTTTGACAGTTATGCTATTTTAAATTCCCAGGCGCCTAAAATCTTTTGTCTTTAAAACAATGTCGATTTCTTGGGAAATTCCGAGGTTGCGCTTTTTTTGATACACCCTGTATATTCAATGTTGTACAGGGTGTCTCAAAAAAACCCAAAATCATTGAAATAACGTATTGTTCGAATTTCAATGCCGTAACACAAAGGATTTTGACAGGGTGATTAATTTGTTTTAAAAATTAAAATATCTTTGTAAAGTGAACGTTTGTTTGCTCATGGGAATTTAAAAATGCTTCGTAAATTGTAATATGCGTAATATGCATTCGTGGGTTTAGTACTTTATGCCTGACATAACAAGTTTACGCTGAGTATTACCATTCATTATAACAGTTATGTCAATCTTTTATGCACTCGTGGGATTAACTTAGTGCTAGGGCATTGAATATCGAACAATACGTCAATTTCAATGATTTTGGTTTTTTTGAGACACCCTGTATATTATACACTTAATGTCTGCTCCCGAGAGAATTAGTTAGTTTTGTTTTCCCGAGAATCTCAATGTTTCCCGAGACGAAGTCGAGGGAAACATTAATTAAGATTCGAGGGAAAACAAAACTAACTATTTCCCGAGGGAACAGGCATTAAGTGTTTTGTTATATAGCGACGAACAAAAATCAACTTCAACAACATTCATACAACAATTGTATTTCGTGACGAAAACTCTATAGTGTAAACGAGTTTAAAATTAAAAGAACCTACTTGAACGGTTTCAACAGCATATCCTGTTGCCTGCTGTGTATTTTTCTTCTCTTTTATATTCTTTATTTGAACACAAACTTGGAAAATCGTAGTTTCTAATTATCTGAGTTGTGCCTCCATTTTGTTTATTTATGTACGTGGCCGGTCGGGGCGGGCAACAATTTTTCACTTGTTGCCCGGTTGGAACATTGCATTTATTTGAAGTCACGTGACCACAAATCAGCCAATCACGTTTGGTGTTCACGCTAGCTATACAGGGTGTATATAAAAAAACGCAACCTCGGAATTTCCTAAGAAATCACTTTGCAATTCTTAAGCATAAAAGATTTTAGGCCTCTGGGAATTGAAATCGAATTGCTAATAGATCATATTACTGTTGTTGTGATTAAATAAATGCATAAATTTTGCTTTATGCACTCGCGTGTGCAGTAATTTTGACAGTTATGCTATTTTAAACTCCCAGGCGCCTAAAATCTTTTGTCTTTAAAACAATGTCGATTTTTTGGGAAATTCCGAGGTTGCACTTTTTTTGATACACCCTGTATAACAATTATATTTATTCCGCTCCTAAATCAACTGACGTCACGTTCCAGAATTTGGAAGGTAAATTCTGATTGGTAGTCGACGTAGCGGAATTCAGTTTGGCGCTCGGGTAAGCAGACGATAGTAATTCGTCGCTTGGCGTATGAATAACAACGTCTGTAAGCAGGCTATGTAACGACTGCATTGACGACAGCAAAATAACAAACATTTCTTGCAAGTTGCATTTTTGCAAGATTTTGTAAATTTAAAAACCTTTCTGAGAGCCAAAAACGCCTAAAAACGTGTAAAAGAATAGACCAAAGTCAATGAAGGTAAGTTTGTTTTAAATATTGATGAATTTTTTGTTTTATAATTGATATATTTATAACTGATAGTGGTGGTCGATACTGCGAATGTCGAACTGATACTATCATTGCGTATATATCAAGTGAACAAAGACAGCATATAATTTCAGTGTAGTTTTATAAATTACTCTTTCTTTTGGATATTAAAGTATTTAAATAAAGAGGAAACCAAACTTTTTTTCATGCGAGAATTTGAAATCAGTTTATTTCAAACTCAATGTTTACCGATAATTCGATAAAAGGCCATTTAGTTTTAAGAAGATTTTAAAGCGTTTTGCGAAGCGTTTGTGGTTGATTTCTACCAAACCGTAGTTACGTACTTCCGGTTAACATGAGATGCACGCCGTGTGTTGCCATGAGTCAGTACAAGTGGTGTAGCCGTGAGACGAAGACGTTTACTTACTTGGTTGACTATTTATAATTGGACGCGAATGTTGGGAACTTTTCAGGTAATTATTTTCCAATTTATTTGCTTTATTTGTGTTTATGCTTCAGGTTGTTTAGTTATTTATCGAATCGATGAAGTAAAGCCCTTACGACAAGTCGACAATCGTTTGAATAATGAATTTTGTATAACATTGCACAATTTCATAGCCGTATGTATTCGTCGTTTTAACGACGTTTTGGGAAAGAAAGTTTTAGTTTCCCATTGCAAAATCTATAAAGGGAAAGAAAGTTATAGTTTCCCTGCGTCTATCTACCACATTTGAGGCTATATTTGCCGCTTGAAGGGAAGAAAGTTATAGTTCCCTTGTAGACGCGTACCAATGAAGCGTGACAAATACGCCATACTATACATGGTGGATATTAATTTATTTCAGCTGTGAATATGACTGACCAAACAAACACGGAACAATCTGTTGATTTGACCACAGATAATACGACTGATTTAAAAGAGTCGATGGCTTCAATGATGTCTGAAATGATGTCGGTCATGAAAGACGATATGCTCAGACAGTTTGAGGAGTACTTTGCCGCTCCCGAGCCTGAGGCCAACACTGGCGATGTTGAGGCAAATGGTGATCAACCCTCACCCGATGTGTCGGATGCCATCGAAAATTATCTACAGACTCCAGACCCTAATTCGACGTCGAGTACATTTGACGTGTTAGCTCCTGAATTTTCTACCACAGACAAAACGGGACCAGCAATTGATGACAAACTGGCTAATATTATAAGTGATTTAGTCAAAGACACTTTGCCTAAGACGAAACTGGACGAGGTAATCAATAAATATCCTCGCCCAGAGAATTGCGAAAGCCTGGTTGTACCAAAAGTTAACAAAATTGTTTGGCAACATCTCAAGCAAAGTGTCCGAACCACCGACAGTGCCATGCAGAAATGTCAAAAATTATTCACCTCGACAATGTATGCCATTATTCAAGCATGTGAGCAAGTCACGGGCAATGTTAGAACGATTTTAACACACGCGCTGGTTCTAGCCATGTCTGGCAACAGAGAATTTAATCTCAGGCGACGTGAGTTACTGCGGCCAAGCCTTAATTCTCAATATGCCACACTCTGTAATCCATCAACACCCATAACCTCCGAATTGTTTGGGGACGATATCAGTAAAGAAATTGATCAAGTGGCCAAAGCTAACCAACTTGGTAATAAGCTTTCCAGTTCGCGCAGAGCCGTGGGCAACAATATCACCCATATGCAGGATCACCATCGCCAAACTACAGCGGTACTAGGCCCATGAGCGGTCAGGACAACAGAGTTCCCGTTCCTCGAAGTTTTCCATCTTTTTTCGGAGGCAGAGGCTCCTATCGACGCCGACTAGGAGCCAAAATGGGTGCAACACAGACAAAACCCAGTCGCAACTAATCACTCCTCACCAGGTTAGTTACAGGGAACATATAGATAAATTAGTTAATAACCAACCACGTTTTGTTGGGGGACAGTTGAAGTTTCACGTAAAACAATGGCAGGACATTACATCCGACCCTTCTGTTTTGCGTTGTGTTAGCAGTTGTGCAATTGAATTTGATTATGAACCTATGCCAGCGAGACATAATGTCAAATCCAGAATATAAGTTTTCATCCGCTGAGCAACAGGCCATTGATAACGAAATTGCGGAATTTTTGTCAAAAGACATTATTGAACAGTCACATTCTGAATATGGGGAAATTATCTCTCCAATCTTTTTGCGGCCCAAAAAGGAAACTGGTAAGGTTCGAGTAATATTTAACCTCAATGAAGCTG